TTCGCTGCTTTTTATCCCCATATTTTAATCCCACTTTTAAATTTCCCTTCTGTCTGATGTTTGTCTTATCATTTACATAAACATGTTTCCAACAGTAATTGGTGGACAAACTGTGAAAATTGGTGCATAGACGTGTTAGAAGTGATTGCATGAAATCTTATTTTAACAGTTTCCAGGTCTGGGTAGATGATATGATGATATTTCTGATGATGTTTTGATTAAACTCTGTTGTAGATTTGGAAATGGACAGCTGTAGACGCCACTGCCGAGTAGTCATTCTTGTTATACTTCTATATTTATCTAAGACAAGTCATTTTGTCCATTTGTCACCTCAGCTTTCCCACAACAGCATGAATGTGAGGAGGAACTGGTTTTTGGGGACCAGGAGAGAAACTTCAGCCTCGACCAGGAGGATCCAGAGCTTCCACAGATAAAAGAGGAACAGGAGGAGCCTTGCACCAGTCAGGACGTAGATCAGCTTGTAGTGAAGCAGGAGACTGAAGGCATTATTATCTTCATGGTGGCTCCTACTTATGAGGAAAGTGAGCCAGAGCTGGACAGTGAACGTCTCCTTTCTTACAGCTCTCCTGAACCAGAGAGCAGAGATCAGCAAGACAACTTTCCAGTGTCAGAGAGTCAGCGTAAAACTGACACAAGCAAGAAGTTTGTGAAATGTGAGATTTGTGGAAAAACCTTTGAGTATAGATCCAAACTAACGAGACATATGAGAGTTCACACAGGTGAGAAGCCACATTCCTGCAGCACCTGCGGAAAAAGATTCAGCCTGATGATAAACTTGAAAACTCACATGAGAATCCACACGGGTGAGAAGCCGTATTCTTGTGGCATCTGCGGAAAAGAATTTAGAGACCAATCGACGTTCAAGAAGCACATGACGGTTCACACGGGTGAGAAGCCTTATTCTTGTAGCACCTGCGGGAAAAGCTTCAGTCAGAAACCAACGCTGGAGAGACACCAGAGAAGCCACACAGGCGAGAAGCTGCACTCCTGCGGCACCTGTGGGAGGGAATTCAGTCAGATGATAAACTTGAAAACTCACATGAGAATTCACACAGGTGAGAAGCCTCATTCATGTGGCACCTGTGGGAAAAGCTTCATTCAGAGGATACAGTTACAAAGACACATGAGGATTCACACTAGTTAAAAGTGGGAGAACTGTCAGATGAAGCAGTCCACTAAGAAGACAGATCAGAGCAGATCCGATGACCTCCTTCATTAAAAAACTCTGTATTGTTTATTGTATGTAGGGGTGGGAGATATAGACTCAAAATAATATTTCAAGAAATGCACATTTAAAAAAATAACGTACATTTTTATCAGCTCGGCAGGCAGCAGCATTTATGTGTAAGTAAATGAAGGATTTTCCATCTTTCTCTTCCAGTGAGCTGCTGTCACTGATGACAGCTTAGCTAATTCAAAGTGTGAAAATGTGGCCACCTCAAGGTGCATGATATTGTAAGGTAAAGACCCAACAATAATACAATGAAAACAGAGAAAACCCAAACAGTCATATGACCCCCTATTAGCAAGCGTTTTGGCGACAGTGGGAAGGAAAAACTCCTTTTTAACAGGAAGAAACCTCCAGCAGAACCAGGCTCAGGGAGGGGCCCCCATCTGCAACAAGGAAAGTTTTAAGTCTAATCTTAAAAGCTGAAGGCTTCGCCTCCCATTCTACCTTTAAATACTCTATGAACAACATTATAGTGCAATGTTAGTGACATACATGAAATATGAGCACATAAGTATAAATGGTGTTTTTTCCTGGAAGTTTTAAGAAAAGTGTATTACAAGTGCTTACACTCTATCTTAATATCTAAAACAACCTTGTAATGCAGCGGTCCTCAACCCCCGGGCCTCGGACCGGTACCGGTCCGTGAGTCGTTTGGTACCGGGCCGCGAGAGTTGAGGCTCAGGTGTGAAATGTATAGTTTTTAGCAGTTTTTAGCATTGTTTTGTTATTGTTTTTATCGTTGTATTTATCCGCGACACCTTAAAGGCCGGTCCGTGAAAATATTGTCGGGCATAAACCGGTCCATGGCGCAAAAAAGGTTGGAGACCGCTGTTGTGATGCTTAAGGAGCCTGCACAATTCTGTCATATAAGGAAAAAAAAATCGACCTGGTTTGTTTTATCTTGGGTCGAGCTTTTTAACCTCCTGCTTTTCCACCGTGTAGCACATCAGTAATTTCCATCCACTGACTGCTCTTGCTGTTATATTAAATATAACTCACGAGTGCTCCAGTGATGCATGGTTGAATCATTTGTTTACCTTTGGGTCGCACATCACTGCTGCTAGTGTCTCCTGCTCACGTGCCTTCACAGCTCGGTCGTACTCTAGTGTGTTTTTGCTTAAAGTGTTGTAACAGGTTTGCTTTTTTCACTTTCAGTGGGAAAAGTTTTCTTGCATATTTTGCGAACATTCAGCTGCCAAACTGTGACTGGAGCCCGACATATGGCTCTGGCTGTGAGACATGACTGGGGTTGACTCATTGTGGTGAATGCAAACACATGATGTTCCTCTAAACACACTTTTTTGTAAACATTTATACCAGTATTATTACAGATCAGATGATATGTCACAGCCCTAATTCTGTTTGTTGCATATTCCATTAAAACCTGTAATGAAGATGAAACACGTATTTACATTCATTTGATGTGATATTTGTATCGTGTTGAGCTGTGGAGGTGACAAAAAAGATGTTTTATTTTTTTGTTTAGTGGAGAGGTTTTACTACACGGAGTCAAAGCTGGAAAGAAACACACATGAGACCAAACATTTTGTGATTTAATCTTGATTTTCGTGAAGACTGAATGTCAGCATGTGCTCATCCTGTTGAGTCGTATGTTGGTTATGTGTCTTAAAAGTGAAATAAAGATTTCTTTAAAACTTCTTGTGGCTATTTGTTAAGGCACAATCTCTACAACATGAAACAACGTCTGTGAAGCACATTTTGCACAGTGGGCAGGGAGACTTGCCCATCACTGTGGTGGTGGGGTGGATGAGATTTGCCTGCGGTCACTTAAGGCTGGTTGTCCTGCTCAAACATTGTATGGAAGTTGAGGTCAGTGCCTTGAGACCGGCCAACTATGGTGGTAGTGATGGTCCCCTGTTTTATGAAGGGAGTGTAGAGGGTATGTTTGCACTTCAGGCCTCCGTAGGAAGGTCTATATCTGTAGTCACTTTCACTGTTTTCTTATTGCTGTTTCAAATTGTTGTTTCTGTTTGCAGACTTTTTATTGAATGATTTTGGTTTATATTAGATATTTTATATGTAATTTAAACTGTTTCCTCTCTGTTTTATATTTGTAGCACTTTGGTCAACATTGTTGGATGTAAAGTGTGTTATAAATAAAGATGCTATGCTATATGTGCATTTGTTGTTATTAATAATATTTGCTTCACTCTCCATTTGATGTGTTTTTGGTATGTTTTACTTTTAATTGTTCTATGATTATGTTTATGTTTGGTTTATAATTATATTTAAGTTCTGGGGTTTTTTTTATGAATAAAAGTGACTTAACTTGTCAGAGATATGGGACTTTGGGCATTTCCGCTTCTGTCTTATTCTCAGTGTCTTGTCTCCATGTTTATTTACCTCTGTGTTGCTATCTTTGTGTCTCTGTCTCTTCAGTGGGATTTAAGACTTCCAACAAATAATTTCAAAGGGTCAATTAAATTTTAATAAAACCATTTTACTCAACACTGCACTCTAATAATAGCATTTTTTTACTCAATCAT